CCCCTCCCTCCCTCCCTCCCCTCCCCTCCTTTCCCTTCCCTTCCCTTTTTGATTTTTGGTACTGCACATCAAACTCACCACAAACTCATGACTTGTGCTTGCCAGGCAGGCACTGTGCCGCTGAGCTATATCCCTGGCCCCAGTGCTTACTTTCTTGTAACTAGGTGGCCTACAGTGCGGGACAGGAGCTGTCCACTTAGGCTGAGGACAGGTCCACAGGCTGGGGCCCATCTAGCCCAATAGCTGGGCTTAGCCTCCAAACTCAGACCGGTGCAGTGCATGGTGGTGAGCACTCTGATGTTGCACCTTTGCTAATCCCAGGGGTGTATGAAGTCCCAAGGCTTCTGCTCTGGTCCCCTCCTGCCACCTCCACACCACCCTCCTTGCTGGCTTAAGTGTTTTTATTACTCTTTTTCCCCCAAATACTGCTCTGGATGGTGAACTTTGTAGACTTTAGTATTACGTACTTGCTAATTGACAGTTTTTGAAAACTAATATTATAATAAAAATTCAAAAGCTGGTACTATTTTAGATTTATTTGATAGGCATTAATAGTTGGTTGGGAATACAAAAGGAAGGAAAACTAATGGAATGTGGGAGAAGTGTTGAAGAGCTGGGTTCTAGTCTTAGGCGTATAAATTTCAATTTGTGTGTTTAGGGGGGCCAGTCCTACTAGGGGTTTTAATTTACATTTCTGGATTACTAGTGAGATTGAAAAATCTATGTTTATTGCTCAGATTTCCTTTTAAATGCTTTGGTTGTTTTCTTCTTAGCTATTTCTTTTTTTTTCCTTGAATTTTTTTATTGGTATATTTTATATATACATAGTGATAGCGTTCTTCATAGAGGAATTGTACCTTGCTTCAAACAATAGTTTCAAGCATTTTTTAAAAAGATTTAAAATTTCTGAATTTAGTTCAACTTATAATTTAGTTCCACATTTCCAAGAAAAATGAACCTTTTGCAAAGACATTTAAATAAAATCATACCAAGATACACAAAAATGAAATTGTCCAAAACTTCTTGTAAAGAAAAAAAATCATTAAAGCATATACATAAAAATATTAGCTATGGAAGAACA